TACCACTTTTTAAAATAAGAAAAAAAAAAGATGCCATAAATTGAGAAAAAAAAAGTCTTTAGGCTGATTTAAATTTACAAAAAAAAAAAAAAAGAACTCGATTAAAAAATTGTTTTTTTTTTTTATTCTTTCTCGTGAAAAACAATTTTAATAAGAACGAAATCAAATTTAATAATATTAAAAAAAAAAAAAAAAAAGAGGAATTCTTAACAAGATTTGCTCGAGGTTAAAAACTGGCAGAAAAGTTATCAAAAAGAAGACTTAATCATATTTGAATAATGAACGGAGGCGAAAAAAAAAAATTACAGGGCATCGGAAAGGAAAAAGTGGTAAAAGATAGAGATTTTGCAAAAATCACGAACGTTGAGATACCGAATTTCCCCCCCCCCCCGAAACAATTGTTAAAAAAAGAAAAAATCGGTTACGAAATGATAAACAACAAGCAAACGAATAATTTTTAATTCGATTCAATGGATGGAAAAAATTTTTTTATTTTTGTCTTCTGGACAAAAAATAACAAGAAAACATAACAATAATTTCTTCATCAGTTAGTTGGCTTTACTTCGCGTCCCCCCCCCCCGATTTCCCTCCCCTACCCCGAACGCCTCTCTCGACCGCCAATTTCAAACGATAAATTTTGTTTTTTTTCCTTCGTTTGTTTGTTTGTTTGTTTTTTTTTTTTATTTTTATAATGAATCGAACATAAAAGTCAATTTATTATTTAAAATCCAAGTACGTAATAAATAAATAATATTGTTTAATATTTAACAACCGAAGTCGGCGCTTAACCAAACAACCACAAACAACAAAATAAATAAATAAATAAAAAAGTCATGACCGACGCAAAGTTTTTGATTAATTATTTTGTATTTATTTACCAGCAAAAAATTTATGTTTGGATTTAAAAAAAAAAAAAATCTTCCATGATTTTAGTTTCTGGAGAAAAAAATAATTCCAGTGATAACTTTCATGGATAAAGAAAAAAAAAATTTATTTATTCGAGTGACTTTTGGATAAAATTTTTTTTTTTTTGTCTGGATAAGCCGGATAAAAATTTAATAAAAACGTTTTAAACATTTGGATAATTTTTGAATAAAAAAAAAAAATTAAACAATAACAACAACAACAACCAAAAAAAAAAAAAAGAAAAAGGTAAGAAAAAAACTTATTAAAATTCCTCGAGGGTAAACAACCATGGTTAATGGCAGCCATTTTTTTTTTTTTGTTTTTAAACCCCGTGTAATGTAACATCGTACCTAAATATTCACAAACTCAAACACTATCATTATTTGCGAGTGATTTATAGTGATTGTTTTTATTTTATTTAATAATCCTTCGGTTAAGACAAACGAATAAAATAACAACAACAACAACAAATATGATCGCCTTCGATCAATTGCGATAAAAGTTTTCAGAGGCGTTTCAAAATGTCAACAACCGACCGTAAGGCAAACGAGAATCAGGTTCGATTCAAATTTTTTTTTTTTTTTTTTTTAAATATAATAAAAACAATTTGCCTCGAGGTTGTTATATCACTTTTTATTTAATTTGTCGACGTCGTTGTCGTCGTCGTCGTCGTCGTCGTCATGCAACAAACAACAACCTTTCTTGAAAAAAACAATATTCCTGTTGGAAACTAAATGAAAAAATTTAATCAAAACATATGGGGGAGAAAAAAAACAAATAAAAATTTAAATCGGAAGAAAAACAGAAGAAGAAGGAAGTCAAAGTTCAAGAGGAAGTTGAAAAACCGGAAATGACAAACAAAATAATTTTTGATCAATAATATAATAAATTTTCACACGAGGCAATATAAGAAAATAAATGTAAGCTCATTCGTTGTGAATTTAAATTATAAAAAAAGAAAAATTACGTAGCAGACTATAAAAGAATTTCAACTTGGGTGGTCTTGAGTCTCAACATGGATGGCCTACGAAATGATGAAAAAAATAGGCTTTGGATTTTTTTTTTGTTGTTGTTAAAAAGTTCCCCGTGGAAAATTTTTTTTTATTTCATTTACGCGAGAGTTTATTATTAATTACCATCGAGTTTTCGTGACGAGTTTTTTCTTTTTTTTTTTCTATAATAAATCAGGTACCCTAAATTTTTACTTATTTAAATTCAAAGTGTCATATTTTACTCATAGTTTATGACGTCATAACGTGTATTTAATACCCGATATTAAATTGTTGCGTTAATCGGGTTGCGTTGTCACGATATTGTTAATTTTATATACTATTTACTACTCTAATAAAAAAAGCAACAACAACAACACGGGCTCTAATTTTTATCAATAAATATGGCCGCTGATCGATAACGAACCCGAGCAAAAAAAATTTCGTTACTCTATCGTTCCCGATAATAATAAATTATTATTTATTTACATCCGCGAAAAATAAAATAACGACTCGACCGGAAATGGAGATTTAATATAATTAATGACGTACGAAATGTAAACAACGATAACGTGATGATTTCTGTCAAAAAGTCATTAATAATTAAATAAATTTTGCGCTTGTTTGGTTGTTAATAAAAAAACTCCTTTTGCTTCCGTTCATTTGTCAAAAAAAAATTACTTATCTATATTTATAATGAAATAAATAATAATAATGATAAAAACGACAAAAAAAATTTATTTTTAATGAATAAATAAATAAATTAATAATTTTTGCAAAAAATAAAAAAGGTTATGATAATATAACTAAAACCACGACAATTTATTTTAAACGTTAAAAAAAATGATGATGATGAATCGATTTTGAGTTCGACCAATTTATTTAGTCGGTTAGTGACACTACATTTAGATAAAAAAAAATTTTTTATTTATAATAATGATAATAATATAAATAAAAGGCGGTGAATTTTGAACTCCAGTAATGTATTTAAAAAAAAAAATGTTTTTTTTTTTATGCGTTCCAGGTGCGATCAATTTATTACAATATACTACATATACGACGTGATGTTAATTTTTATTATTTAAATGTTAACTATGACGTTTCGTTCCGCCATTTTGTTTTAATTTATGTACATTTATAAAAATTAAAGAGTTTGGGTTTTAAGAAATATTAATAATAATAATAATTTATACGATAAAAAAAGAAAAATTTCGTTATTTTGATTGAATGAAGTGGTGGCCATTTTTCAAATTTTTTTCCAAATTAATAAAAATTTTTCAATAAGATTTTCCGCATTTTAAAATTCCCGCCATTTTTTTCTTTTTCACCAACTTCATCATTTATTTCCCTTACGTAAAATTACATTCGAGTTTTTTTTTCCATATTCAATTTACATTGAATAATAAACATAAAAATTAATTAATTAATAATGTAAATAAGTTTAGAAAAAATTATTAACCTAGTTTTTTTGTAATTTAATTTAATTATTTATCAATTTTTTTCCGTTTTTTTGCTGCGGTTAAAATTTATCCGAACTAGAAAAAAAAAGTTGATTATTCAATTTTGCTGTAATTCTATTTTTAAAAAAAAGAAAATTTTATTCTTAATTAGTTTTTTTTAAAAAGGTGTTATTACGTCGTTTGAAAAACGTAAGCGGTACTATTTTATTAAAAAAAAAATAAAATTAAAATTTTCTTTTTTATACGGCTCGATGTTAAAACCGCGTAAGAGACAATCCCTTAATTAAAAATCTATAATAATTTACTAATTGATTAAAAATTAGATTTTTATGTTATTTTCGTCGATCTTTCTGGAAAATTTTTTTTTTAGTTATTAATAAAAACGAATTAAAATCGAACGTTTTGTAATAAATAAATTTAAACGGCTAAATTTTTCCATTAAATTCCTAGAGAATGTAAAACGTCACGCGCGTAAAACTATCGATAAAATAATTATTACGTAATTTATTTAGGAGGAAAACAAAGGAAAAATTTTTTAGGATTTTTTGAGAAAGATTTTCTTCTTTTCTCTCAACACAAAAGAAACAAAAAAGAAAAAATTCCCACCGACAATAAGACGATATAACAAAACTCGAAGTAAAATCGATTAGTGATCACAGACTGAAATTTCCTATATAAACAAAATTTTAAACTTTTCCCTCTCATTGTTCTCATCGAATTCAAAATGGCGAAAATAAAAAAAAAAAAATTACTCGTAATTAATCCACGTAAAAATTAACCAGTAATTATTTTCACGATCGGTCAGATACAAAGCTATGCTAAACATTAATTAATCAAAATTTAAAAAAAAATTTTTTTTTAATTTGCACCGTGTAATGTTTTTGTTTATAATTTCCTCTTTAAAAAAATCTCATATTGCTCTCCCTCACCCCCTCACCCCTCCCCCAAAAAATTTAAAATCATTTTTGTTATTCATACTTACCATTTGTACATATACAACCTCCATTAAATTTACCCATTTTTTGTTTTTTGTTTTTTTTCTTATAAAAGCAAATATACCAGACGCATTTTTATTTTTATTGTCGATTAATATATAAAAATCAACGCAAGAACCTTGATCGATATCGATTATGTTTTTTTCATGTGAGATGTCAAAGGGTAAATTTTTTAAACAATAAAAACATATGTTGTTTTACCTCTTCGAGGTCATAACGTAACCGCAAACTCACGCGATATAAAATTATTTTTCCCGGGCTCGCCGCCTATGATTATAAACTCCTCCCATTTTGTTTAAATGCTCCGCCCCGATAGTCGAAGTGAGGTTACGTTACCAGCTGTATCGGACGAGCCGTGTTCTCGTGAACATCATTCTTCGTTTACTTATAACTATTAACAATTGAATTTTAATTATTTTTTTTTTAATTAAACCGTTAAATTAATTAGTTAATTTTTTTTTTTACGGTTAAATCGCGAGGTATTTTTTTTTGTTTATGTTACGTCAATATTTAGTAAACGTTTAAAACAAAAGTGGTTTTAAAAAACAAAAAAAATTTTAATGCGAATGCGGCCGCCGGTTCGTGTTTTTTTTTTTTTTTTTTGTTTCGAACATGAATGTGAACATTAAGTGAAATAAACTGTGTCACCGATGTCTCCGGTGTTGAATTGTATTCCGTCTAGTCCTCCTTCGGATCAAGACAATTATCCAAAAGTCGGAAGCATACCGTCAGATAGATCCCATCGGTCTCCTTTAGAGGTTAGTCCGACTTCGCAAACAAATGGAGATTTGACGGAGTCGGAAAATTCATGCTGTGATGATGTCAGAACGGAAACGGAGGATTTGAAACGTTCAAACATAACTAATAATAATAATAATAATAATATACCGATAAATTATAAAAAATCTCCTAGTCCGAATAAAAATTTTACTTTTGAAACTCCCATAAGGCCCTGGAATTCTAGTCCGAGTTATAGAAATGTCGATAGAGGACAATCGGTGAGTCCGTCAAATTCTAGCCAACGTTTATCACCCTGTCCGAGAAATTCCCTTTCTCCGGATGCATCATCGGAAAATTCTAGAATTCCGAGTCAGGCATCGTCAGAAGCTACTCACGATGCCGCCGTTTTACCACCCGATAATTTTAGATCTCCTAAAATGTGCTCGACGGAGCTACCTTACGATGTTCCTTTTCCGTTTCATGACAATCGTCTTTCATCCGCAGATAGTTTTAGGTTTCCAAATTCTTACATATGTGATCCGTTAAATCCTTATTTCGGATTAGGTAATCATCCTCTAAATCCATTTCAACCTCCTCCTAATTTTTTGGCACATCCGTTTTTGGGTACGACCGATCCGAAATTGTTATTAAACAATTCGGGTTTCGGTTTAATATCTCAACAACTTCACAATTTAAACGGTTTTCCTCCAAACGTGAATAATAAACTTCCACCGGCGGATTTGCACAGAATGTCAACAGTCCAACAATTACAATTTATACAAAATCATCTTCAAAGTCTGCCAACGTTTTTACAACCCTCGTCGCCGTATACAAAATTAACAGAATCAAAAAATCAATTGTCGATGTTGATACAAGCGAGGAAACAACCGAAAAATTCCGATTCGGATGCGGAAAATGTTAAAAAAGACATTTTCCCTTTTTCCGATGTGAGAAAAATAGAAGAAGTACATAATAAAACAAAAGATGTTAAAATCAAAACAAACGAAACATTAGAAAAAAATAGAAAAACATTAACAGAAGAACATGAAGAAGAAGAAGAAGATGGAGGAGGGGGAGGAGGAGAAGAAGTAGAAGAAATGTCCGTAGACAATTACGAAGAAAACATTTCGGATTCCGATGAACTTTTAAGCGTCGGAAGTGTTTCACCATCTCCGAGTAGTTGTCAAAACAAACAAAATAAAATAAAACAAAACGATGGAAGTTTATGTTCACCTTCTTTAAATTCTTCTTCGTCTTTACATATACAAAATTCAAATAATAATAATAATAATAATAATCCGACGGGGGGATTTAAAAAATATCAAAATTCGACGTCACCCGTGAGAACGGTTCAAGAGACATTAACAAACACGAAAAGTTCAAACGCGACAAATAGAACATTAAAATTTAGCATAGACAACATACTTAAATCCGATTTCGGTGGTGGTAACGATGATATTTTCAAAGAACCCAAACAAATAGAAAATGGGAAAAAATTAAAAGAACAACCGGAAAAAACAAATGTTATCGTCGTTAATAAAAAACCGGAAACGGAAAAAGAAAAACCCGTGGATTTAAGTCAAGACGGTGGTACGACGAATTCACCATCATCGGGTACGGATGCACCAATGTTATGGCCTGCTTGGGTATATTGTACCAGATACAGCGACAGACCATCATCAGGTAAATTTTTATTTTTTATTTTTTATTTAATGAATCAATTTCCGGTATTTTTAAAAAACGAACAACCTCGAATAATAATAATAATAATGAATTAATCGTGACGCTACGATTACCACAAACTACCACCAAATTACGAGGAAAAAAAAAATTAACTCGCGTCTTTCTTCTTACCCTCCCCTCCCTTACCTCCTACCCCCGCGTAAAAATTCCGTCGACAATTTTTCTTTTTTTTTATCAAAGTGGCGACAATTTTCTTTTTTTTTTTTAAAAACGATACCGTCGTAAAAAAAAAAAATTAATAATCTGTCGAAACGTACATAAAAAACAATAAAAAAAATTTTTTTTCTTTTTCCGCCATTTATATATTAATTACTATTTTTTTTGTTTTTAGTTAACGCCGAGTAATTTTTTTTACTTTTTATTACCCGCAATCAAAAGTAATAAAAATAATTGTAAAAAAAAAAAAAAACCGGCGTCTCGTAAATAAATTAAAAAAAATTTATCTATAAAATGTTTTTCTAATGCTACGACGACAATCATTACAACAATCTAATTGAGTCACTACAACCGTGACTCGTGTGTGTGTGTGTGACGATCTTACAAATTAATTTAATTACTTTAGGCACATTAATAAATAAATAAATAAATAAGTTATTCGTTTTGATAATAATAATAATAGTAGTTTTAAAGATCGGCAAAGAAATTTTTTTTTTACTTTTCCCAAGGTAAAAAACTTGATTTTTTTTTTTTTCTTTCTTACATAAACGTTTATAAGTAAGTAGTAAAATATACCGTAAATGCTACCGTCTAATTTAATTAGCGATACTGGTTTTTATTATCATTATTATCATCATTATCATTATCATCATTATTATTATCATCATCATCGTAATTATTTGATGCTTTTTTTTTGCAAAAATTCTTTTTGATGCACTTTTTTTCCTTTTTTTTTTTATAAATATTCCTTTTATTACTAATTTAATATAAATAAAATAAAAATTATTTATTTATTTATTTACTTATTTGTTTACTTTGTGTGCGTTTTTTTTTAAAACAAGTTTTTTATGTGGGGAGTCGAATAAAAAAAAAAAGTAGAAAAAATTACAAGGCATATTCAAAAAAAAAAAAAAAAAAATTTACCATTAACACGCGCGTATTTAAATAATTATGTCATTAAATATACAAAACTAATAATAAATAAATTTACGCGCGTTTATTATTATTATCATCATCATAATTGCATAATTTTTAATTTTCCTTTTTTTTTTTTTTTCCTAAAAACAGTGTTTATTTATCCCTCGGAAAACCGGTTTATTTTTCCCTCCTCAAATAAAATGTTATCAATGTAATAAACAAAAACCGTGATGATGATGATAATAATATTATTATTTAATAGTTTTTTTTTCAGTATAAAAAACAAAATAAGTTATTATCATCATCATCATCATCATCATTATTATTATTATTAAAGTAGAAGACAAAAAAAAAAAAAATTAAATATTAATGAACGATAATACAGGAAAGACGAACGATTAATCAGAATTTATTAAATAAAAAAAATAATTTATTTATTTCAAAAATTTTGACTTATTATCATCATTATCATTATTATTATCATTATTATGAATAATAGGATTTCCTGTTGGCATATAAAAAAAATTTGGGTTTTTTTGGCAATAACACACGCGGTTAAATAATTATTAAAACTTTTTTTGAACATCGGGTATTTAAAAATAATTTATTTATTAATTAATAAGTTAATTTATTAATAAATTTTTATTTAAATAAATAAATTTGTCGAAATGAAACCCTCGGGTTAATGATAATAGTAATAATAATAATGAAAAAGAAAAATTGTCTATACACGCCCAAATCGTATTGGAAAAAATTTCGTTCCGGAATTTTTTATTTTTTTTGATTTTTATTTGATTCGAAGAGGTCAAAGTTCACGATATACGTAAGAAAGCTTCCTACCCCCCTCATTCAGTTCCCATCTTTCTCATTCCTCCCCCTTTCTTCCCCCCCAAAAAAAACAACAATAATAAAAGGGTTGCCAACTGAATTTTCTCTCACATATATAATTTTAAATGTTTTGTACTCGTATTCCTATTAATTCACACTTTAATAATTTAAATTTTAAATAGTTACATAAGTAGTTTATTTAATTTAATGAGTTAATAAGTTTAATAACCTTCGGTAATCATTAATAATAAATAATTTAAATCCGAGAGAAAGATAAAAAAAAAAATTTGAAATTTTATTATTAATATTTAACGCAAATCAAAAACGGCCGTATCAGCAATAATAATAATAATAAAATATCGTCGCCGCCATTTTTTTTTTTTAATAAGTTTTTTATAATCTTTCGAGAAAAATAATTATTTATTTATTGATCGAATTAATATTAATAAATAAATAAAAATCAATTATTTAATGACTTAATTAATTAATAAATCAATATTTTATTTATTTTTTTTATTCGTTCGATACGATAATAATAATAATAATAATAATAATAATAATAATAATAATAATAATAATAATAATAATAATAATAAAGACATTTCCAGAAACGAAAAAGATTTATTCGATTGTAATACGTAAGGAGTCTCCGCAAAAAAAAAAAAATTATTATTTCATATTAATGTGGACAAAAATCAATAAAGATAATAATAATGATGGTAAAAATCATGATAACGACGATAATAATGATTACGATGATACGGTCATTACGATGGTAATAATAATAATAATAATAATAATAATAATAATAATAATAATAATAATAATAATAATAATAATAATAATAATAATAATAATAATAATAATAATAATAATGTAAAGAACAAGTCGTGAGCGAAGATTAAACATTATTAAAAGAATTAATAAAAAAAAAAATTTACTGCGTAATAATAATTTTTTATGTAAGATTTTAATAATAATAATAATGATAATAATATTTTGAAAAAGATTTATTATTATTATAATTATTAATAAGTTAAAATATTATAATTAATTATTAAAAATCCGATGGATGAATGTAATCAATTAAATAAAAAAAAAATTAATTAATTCGGTATTTTATTTAAATTTTTTTTCCCGCGTTTTTTTGGCATTATCGACCTTTGACCTGAAGATTAAAGCCCTTTGTGGGGGGGGTAAATAACGGTTCAGATAGGGATGAAAAAAAAAAAGGGACACCTGGATGATGATGGAACGTAGCGAAAAAATAAAATAAAAATGGGGAATCCGTTTCTTTCGACGAATAAACGCGATTCTTTCTCTCTCTCTCTCTTTTCCTATTTATTATTATTATTATTATTATCATCATCATTATCATTATCATTAACATTAATAAGGTAATTAAAACGTAAGGGGTAAAATAAAATTGTTTATTTATTCATTTGACGTAATCAAATGTAAAATTACGTAAAAATTTATTGAACTTAATAACGTTTTTAATTTTAAATTTAAATTTAAAATAAATAATGATAATAATGATGATAATAATAATGATATAAAAAAATTAATAATTTATTTACTCTATGATTTTTAAATTTAAAAAAAAAATGTCGAATCATGTTTAATCTATGGGAATACGACGTAAACCATAATCGTAAAAAAAAAAATTATTATTATTAATAATATTTATTTATTAATGATTACAATAATAATAATTATTATTATTATTATTATTAATTTATAACATCGACTAGTAATAATAATAATAATAATAATATGATTTAATTTATTTTAATTTTATTTAAATTAACTTTTTTTTATTAACATTTAAAAAAAAAAAAAATTCAACCGATGAGATTTTTATCCTCACATAAACATAATTTAAATTTAAATATTAAAATTATCACAAACGCAAACAAACGCGCGCATACACGCAGGCACACGCACGCACACACACGTAAAAAAAAAAAACGAGTTCGTCTGCTAATCAACCGATGCAAAAAAAAAAAAATGATATGTCGTCGACGTTATAAATTAAAAAGTCAAAAAAAATTTCTTTTTCACGGAGGTCGTCGTTAATGACCAAAAAAAAAGTTTTTGGTTGTTGTTTGGTTGTTGACGACGACGTTTGCCGTTGTTTCGCAATAATAACATAAAAAATTTAAAAGACGTAACATAATCAATCTTTTACCTTGTTATTATTATCTCGTGCCACGATTTTTTCTTTCCTTTTTTACATTATTAATTCGTTTTGCAAAGTTTTTAATAACTGATTAAATCCTTCTGAACAAACAAAACCGAATTTTTTGTTTTTTCACCA